CAATTTTAATTTTTCAAAACTTGTCATCAAAAAGATTATATCTTTTGAAGAATGGGGTTTTTCCCCTCTTGCTGAGCGAGAATGGTTTTCACCCGCTCATAAATGCAATTTCAAGTTTAATTACTGGGATTATATCCATGGTTTATCTAAAGTCCTACTTTATGATAACGAGAACAAAAGACATTCTTGGTTCTTGAAAATTTGTGAAAATTGCTTCCATTCACCAATACCTAATTGGTTCTTCTCTTGGTGGAAAAATTTTGGAACTAATCCTTCTATTTTTCTAGATCATATGAAATCTTATATTAAAGATTGGATGTTATATTCTCCAACAGTCAATGACTGTAAAAAACTCTATCAAATTGATAGTAGTAATGTTTGCCTTTTCTTTATAGAATTTGGCATTCCATGGATTTGGAAATGGAAGCCAATATTTGGCTATGATCATTATATGATCCCTTGTCTCAAGCGTCAAGGACTCTCAAAATATTGGGAGAAACTAGATCGTATGTGTCCAAACTCCTCTTCTATTGAAGGAGCTGATCTTTATGATGCCATCGTCAAGAAAATTCAAATTTATAAGAAAGAATTCGAAGATCGCCAACAGACCACTACCAGTTCGGATATTCCGAGTCCCTTCCAACAACTCTCCCAGAAATACGCTGGTACTTTATCYAAGGACGAGATAGTTGATCTCTACATAGAGAATATGAARAAGGATCTGCATCAAAATCTTTCTCAGCCTTCCGATAGTTCCATGAACTCTGATATGCAGCAAGATGCTCAAAGTGTCGAAGGCTCCGAAGAGCTACTCGTCTCCATTGATGAAGCATTAGAGTCTCTCAAAGACTCCATAAAGCAAAGTAAGTAGCTTTGATAGTCTTTTTGACATTTTGTCAAAAGTTCTTTACTTTCGGTCTTAGTAGCCGACAACTTTTATAAAGTTGCTTTTTCTTTTAGAAAAGAAACTTTTGCTTTAATAAAGCAGTTTCCTTTTTAGCTGTATAGCCAGCTGTCCTTAATAGGATTTTTATTTCTATATTTATAGAGAGGCATGTCTCTCTTATTCTTCAGAGTTTTCTGAGGAGTGTTTTCAGAATTTTCACTTTTCTTTCCAGTATTGTAATCCGTGTGTGCAAATAAAGAAATAAGACGAACAAGCTTGCCGACAGTGGTTTAAAGCTTTTGTAAGTTCCTTGTTCTTACTTTTATTTATTCTTCCAGTTTCTTGTCGCCTTCATGGCTGGCTAATTTAGGACTATGAGTTAAAACAAWTTTTGATCTGATATTTCAATAGATTTACATGGAATGGTTTATATGTTTATGATTTAGTAAAAATCCTCTAAACCGCTAAGTCTACCTCTGAGATCTCTGAGACTGGTTATCACCCGTTGAGGCCAAGAGAGCCGTTTAGGGTATTTAAACCTTGGTTTGAGATTTGAGGCAAGTTTAGTCGTTTTAGATTGTTTTTGTTAGATTTTGGGACATAGAAAAAAATAAGAGCTTGGAAAAGACGATCAAGAAGATCCTTCTTGTTAGGAATAGGATGTCTAATCCATTTTAGGACCTTGTTAAGGGGTTTATAATTAATAACAAGCCGAGGGATACCTCGTTCCTGTATGCATATTCAAATTAAGAAATTCATAATATATATATATATATATAAACATAAATTTAGTAAGTTAAATATTAATATTTTTTAATAATCCCATCATATAAGTTATATATTAACGTGTAATTTAATTTACTGTTGATTACGGTGCAATAGTGGAGAAATCTTGGGTATTGTCCTAAACAGAATATCGATGGTCAAATTGCGATGTAAATAACGGTAACGTAATTATCGGTGTAATTTACTATAATTTTGACCGATATTTAGGGTCAAAATTGCGTTTTGCAATAGTGTTTGTTATTTTTGGGGTTTATTTTGGGCAGTTAGGCTTTTTAGATGTAGGCTATGTTTTAACTTTAATGCATTAACATAACAATTACTTTCTTTCTCATATCAACCCAAGTTGAAATTTAAGGAAGTCGTAGGTTTTTCTTTTTCAAGTTGGACAATTGACACCCTCCTCCAGATGGATCAGACCTCCGCTCCTTAGCTTCTGTTTCTGTTTTAGACGATCTCATCTTCTGCTTTAGAGGACCATGATCCATGAGTCTCGGCTTCTCTTTCCAGCTTTTAGCTTTTGTTTCCAAATGATATGTTTATGTACGCATACATACATACATACATATATAGGGAAGGGTTCAAATGAGAACACCTTCATTTTACGAGAATGTGAGAACACCCTTTTACAATAAACAATCACATCTGATATTATTATTCCATCGCATATGATACATATGTGATACTAAATCAGAGACGCAAGCGATTTTCGGCGAAATCTTGGTTGCAGGCCAAGTCGCCCTTACACCACTAAGCCCCCTCACATGTATTATCACATGTGATAAGAGTGTTGTTGATATAATACTATAATCCATCAAGACCATCACATGTGATGCTAAATCATAGACGCAAACAACCTTTGGCACGACCTAAGTCGTAGAACACGTCTTCCGCATGCTACCAGGTCCCCTCATGTGTATTATGATATGTGATAAAAATGTTCTCAAGTTCTCGTAAAATAGAGGTGTTCTCGTTTGAAACCCCTCCCCCCCATACACACACACACACACACACACACACACACATATATATATATATATATTGTGTAAAAAATATTATATAAAACGCTATTTCAAATATCCGTCCTAGTAGTAATTTTGTATTTTCTCCGCTATAACATGATTTTTTATTAAAAAACTTCATTACGATTAAATGAGAAATAAGACGAGGTCAAAAAAATAAATATAACCAAAAAAATGTCATGTTATAATTCTTTATTGTTTTTAAAACATTATACTATGATTATATTTACAATAATATTAAAATATTTACTACAACAAATTAAATATAAAATAATTATTATGTTGTTAAACTTGTGTTTTACTTGTATGTTTGAGATTTACCACTCTTATTTGTAATTCAAAACGAAATTTTATTTTATCATTTATCCATCATCTGTTTCGTTACCCATTATTTCAATGGGTAGGGTAAAATACTGATAATAGTTTTATAAGATGAATTTAAATCTTTTACGAAATCTAAACCTTTCAAAAACATTATGTTAAAACTAAACAGGCTCCAAGGGTTATGTTAAACCACAAGGGTGGTACCTGTTTGGTTTGAGCTTGACTCCAAAGGTTAAAAGTATCAGGAGGTTACAGGTTCAAATCCAAAGAAAAATAAAAATCTCATTGTGGCCATAGAGATTCAAATGCGATGACTCCGGGCTATCTACAAAACATATGGTCGTTCTGAAATTAATCGGCTCAGATAGCAGGTTGAATATCCAGATTAATAAAAAAAAAAACTAAAGAGGCTAAGAATTTGATTGGACCAATGGCATTGGAGAAAGAGTTGATAGAAACTATCAACCATTTTGGTGGACATGAAACCAACCCTCCAACAACAACAGCACCACACCATATGAGCTGCTGCTTCTATTTTACAACACACAAACTTAAAGTAGGCTCACCAACCAAAACCTAGGGGTTCAATGTTCATGACTAACTTAGGGTTTATACAAATATATATATATTCTTAAAACACCCCACCAACATTCTTACCAACCCAAGTCACTATTATTATTATATTAAAACAAATTGTATGAAAAAATAACGTACTTTTAACTTGATTTTTATTTTGGGTAAACTACTCTCAAAACTTTTATTTGGGTACCTAAGATGTAAAGTTTTAAACATTCAAATACTCGGGTAACCGGCTGTTGTGGTATCAAACTCAGTGTAAAATTTTATTGAATATTAAATTCAAAAGGTAAGTCAAATCACTCGCCACATCAGTATTGTAATCAGTTAATGCTTCAACCGATTACTCGGGTACTTAAATATTTAAAATTTTACATCTTAGGTACCAAAATGTAAGTTTTGAAAGTACGTTACCCAAAATAAAAATCAAGTTAAAAGTACGTTGTTATACTTATTTAGAAACATCAAATCATCAATTAACATTTCAATCCATTCTTTGAAAGTTATCATCCAACGGATTTCCTACAATTTTTATGAAATAGAGAATCAAAATCCAAATCTCTAAGAAAAAGAGTAAATTATGAATTTCGTCCCTATTGTTTCTTCATAATCTTGATTTTCATCCATGTGTTTTGCAATTTATTGCTATTTTCATCCCTAGACTAATTCCAACCTTTAAATACAAGAGACCAAATCAGTAAGGAATTGTAAACGACAAGGATTGAAACAACAATAGATTGTAAATCATTACAATGAAAATAGCAATGAATTACAAACCATAGGGACGAAAACAACAATACCTAAACCACAGGGATGAAAATTGCAATTTTTAACAAAACCAAGGGACAAAAAACGTAATTCACTCTCACCTAAATTATACTAATAAACTCAATTAACGTAATTATTAACGCTTATCGGGTAAGAGACCTACAAACAATCAATTAAGATGATCGAGACGGTTACCCTACAAGGTAAGTGAAGATGATGAGACTCTTACCACCGAGCGCAACATTTGGTAAATGGCCGCTAAGGCATCCAAAAGTGGTTTCCAACAACTTATAATTCCACCTAATCAACCCGGCGGTCCTTATGATTCGCCTAAGGTCCGACGCAATGGTCGAAACCGCACTTTGTTCATGAGGGTTTAATCAAGGACGATCAAATTCTTTTACATACACGGGATATCATATAAGCCCTCCTACCCTGACAAACCCAAGATTCTTATCGAACGACTGCATCTTTAAGGCGGATCAAAGGCCTGCAAAATCGTTCGACGTGTTTTTAGCCAAATTCCACTGTTTCCAGATATATTTTTTTAAAGTTCTTTGGTTGATTTCGAGAGACTTTTCTCAGTTTTTTGGTTGATGTTCTTTGTATTTTCTAATATCACGGAGCACCCATCAAAGTTTAGCGAGTGCAACTTCCACACACCAAAGCGGGTGCACGTGGCCCCGCTTGGGTGCGTAATAGGCTCGTCCCCTGCTCTTATGCTTGGATAAATGTTGGGCGTTCCTAAAGCACAATCCCCCAATGCACCTAGGTTCATTTGCAAGTTTATCCCGAAATAAGATCACCTTCGACTAACATCTTTGATTACGTGACAACAGTAGAGCGGTTGTTTACCATTATGCCCCAAACGTATCGCCCCAAATTTCAAGCGGTCGAGGCATACACAATCATAAAAAAAAAGGTCTTTTAAGTAGTAGTACAGCTTACCTTCAAATCTCAATCATGTGAAACTTGTTAGAACTGCTATCTTCTGTACAAATACTTTGAAAGTGGGAACTTTAGGCTCCTTGCTACCTGCATAATGAACAGAAAAGCTAAGATAACCAGTAAAAATACTGTTTTACCCTTGTTAGGGTCCCACACAGGGATAGAAACGGGGCGGGTATTGCATCCCCGACCCCCATTTAAAACCCCCCCTTCCAGCCCGGACGGGTTCATGAACCTGTTGGGTACTCGTTTAGTGAAAAACAATAAAAAACAATGTATTTTAAAATTAAAAATATAGTAAACGAGTGAATCATCAGTGCATTAATTATCAATACTAAAAGTCAAAAATATTTGTCATTTGATAATAAATATATACATAGAGGGAGGTTCAGGGAAAACCTCAAAAAAATGAAAAACTAAGGAACACTCTCACAACCATTCATCTGGATGCTATGCACACGTGTATACATGTAATTGAGGATGTTTCTTGATTTTTATGCAGGTGTGCATGTTAGACAATGTGCATACCTTCCAGATAAATGGTTACCAAGGTGTTCATCAGTTTTACATTTTTTTTTGCTGTTTTCCTTTGAACCTATATACATATCTACCTAACCATATATATACACACACACACACATATATATATATATATATGTAAATATCGAAGTGGGTCGGGGGGAGATCGGGGATGGCATTACCCGCCCCTAATCCGACCCCGATTAATTTTTTTATTTTATTTAATATATGTATATAGTGTGTATAAATAAATATATTTGTATACATTTATTATTAAATGACAAATATATTTTGATCTTCAATATTGGTGATTAATATAGTGACAATTCATTGTAATTTTAATTTTAAAATAATTTTTTTTTTACTAAACGGGAACCCACCAGGTTCATTGAACCCGTAGCGGATTCCTTCCCCCCAAACCCGTCAGGGATTAGTCGGGGCAGGGTCAGGAACGGGGGATGCATTACTATACCCGCCCCGTTTCCATCTCTAGTTGGAACCTCCCTTCTCTCCTCAAGGTCTCTTTTGGAAAGTAATTTAGCGGGCTTCCACATATTCTCACATGGAAACAGAGCCAAAGTCCACCATCTCGGACATTTTTGCCCTAAACTCGACACTTTTGAGACATCTTTGCCCGTCTAGCCTCTATTGGCGGGGGGGTGTGAAGAATCCCACATCAGCTAGACTTGGACATTTTTTCTTCGATATATGTTGGAACCCCCAATCTCTCCACAACAGCTCTTTTGAAGAGTAATCTGGAGGTTCCACATATTATCATGACCGTAAAACAAGCTTAAGAAGAATTACAAACAATTAGTTTACGAAGCTTACTTTTAAGGCCAGATCCTCGCTAACTGTGGAACGGTATCGAGTGGAGCCCTCTAGTGGACAGCTTCCGCCTTTTGTTATATAATTAGAGTTGCAAAGACTCGATACTTGCAAGAGAATGTCGGACATGAGACCCGTATCCCCATTCTCACCGTCTAAACCCGTTTCTGCTGCTTCTTCTTCGAGTGAATATTCTGCAACCGATGTGATACATTGGAATATAGCTAACAATCTCTCCAATGGAAAGGTTCCGGGGCCTTTCATGAATTGTTCTTGCTCCGAAGCTTCCTTCAGATCCATTGATTTTTCCGAGCTTCTGTAAATGAAGGAGTGGTTAAAGATTCAGCCACACGAATAAAACAAAATGTGTGGTATAAATATATCCATGGTTTAAGTTCTAGTGGAAAACAAGATTCATTCGTTTTAGTGTGTGTTTGGTATGCGGGATAGAACAGAACAGGACAAAACTTTACAAAGAAGAGAACAAGACAGACAGAACAAGACAACGATCATTGTTCCACCTTTGGCATGACTTTTATGTGGAACAAAGTGAAACAAACATATTCCACCCCCACCCCACGGAACGAGGAACAAACCTATATTTTACCAATATACCCTCCATAAAAAACCAAATTCTCTTCTAAAACATCAAATACGACTTCCTCTTTACATTTTATCCTTTCTTTAAATTTTAATTATAGTATTTTATCCTTTTTAAGGCCAGATCCTCGCTAATTCGTATGCAACAAATTACCCAGTAAGAGTCGTCACTCTCACTTACCGGGTAAAACTCTCGTTCCATGCCATCGCTCTTACTGGGTAAGATTCTTGGTCCTTGTCATGTTAATTCAGTAAGGTAAATGACCCAATAAGCGCTGACTGGGTAAGCGTTTAGTGAACGCCCACTTAACATAGTTGATGCCAACAACTTATCAAAGCACTTACTTTCTCTTCCTTTTTTGATTAGCGGAACCTCCAGTCGAATCAAACAATGATGCATCAAGGGTAGCCGGGTTTCTGGAAGCAAGAAATGCAGATATGAGAAGATATTTCGCAGAAATGGACATATGGAAGTCGATTTCATCGATAGAATCAGAAACTCCGAATTTCTTCGAGCTGCTCTTCCTTTTCAGATTGTCCCTGCCTCCAGTTTCTACAGACGGTTGAGATCTAACTCGAAATATCTCATTGAGAGCGGGAGCGATATGAGGTTGAAGATAACTAAACAACCTTCTCTTCGTGTCTTCATCAGGGACAACCCCGAGATCATCTAACGGCTCACAGTATTTCTTGAATAACGGTGATAAGGCAGTCGATAGCTCATCGAGTCTTCTTGTTACTCGACAAAAAGGCTTCAGTACCACACTGTTTAACACGAGACCAGGAAAAAGAAGCATAATTTAGTAACCACCTCATACATCCTCCATTCAAACAAAAGGGGGATAATATGACTTTCATGATTAAACATAATAATACGAAATTCAAAATCAATATGCCTCTAATTAATTGAGAAAAGGAGAGTAAAAACAAACCAAACAAACCCAATAAATCCCACTCAAAAATAGGGTCTAAGAGGGGTGAGGTGTATGCAATAGGGGTGTTCGCGGGGCAGATTTGGGCCAAATTGCACTGCATATGCGGTTTGAGATTTTCCCAAACCGCATCACATATGCCTTAAACCGCAAAAAACCACACCACCATTGGTTTATGCTGTTTGAACCTATAGCACTTCAATCCAATAATTATAAAAGCACAACTTTAAAATAAATTCGACGATGATGCTCCTATATTCCATACATTGTAAACTTCTGATACATACGAAATGCATAATTAAGAAAGGTGTAAAGCAAACTAAATAGTTTGGCAATTAATCCATATCCATCTTAAAAGTTAACTAAAAAATAATTCCGACCATGATGTTTGACAAAAGAAAAATGAAAATAACTCAAATAAGGAATTTGTACCTTAAAAACATAAAAGGGAAACTGAAAGGTTAATAAATATTCAATAATGTATTAACTAGTTTCATTTGATAAATGATTATATGGGTTGGGTTCCGGTGAGAAGGGGAGTGAAGGTGAGAAGCGTAAGAAGGGATCTACACCCTTGGATGCACATTAGGATGAGATGCACCGGATAAATCCCCATATCAAGCGCGATTCATGGGTGGGTTTGTGATTAAAAGTGATCAAGGGTCCAAACCCCTTCTCACGCTTCTCACCTTAATTCTCCTTCTCACACGATCCTTCGCCATGATTATATATGTAAACATATATATTTTAACCATAAGGGTGGTGTCTGATTGGTTTGAGTTTGGCTCCAAAGGTCAAAAGTACCAGGAGGTCCCAGGTTCAAATTCAAGGAGGAATAAAAATCCCTTGTGGCCACGGAGGTTCAAATGTGGTGACTCCGGGCTATCTGCAAAGCAGGTGGTCGTCCTGGAATTAGTCGGCTCACATAGCGGGTTGAATATCCAGGTTAATCAAAAAAAAAAAAAAAATATATATATATATATATATATATTTTTTTTAAAAAGTCAAACATGAACCCCTATTTTGATATATAATTATATCTTCAATAAAGTGTAAAACAACATTAAAAGCAGAGCAATTCATATGGGAATTATGTCACTACTCGAGAAAAGACACATTTCATATAAAGAATTACGCCACTACTCGAGAAAAAACTCATTTCATATAAAGAATTATGTCACTACATAAGAATGAAACATTTTTATGAGGAATTATGTCACTTAGGGTTTGTTTGTCTGCAACTTAATGAGCTTAATGTGACTCACAGCTTAATCGGTCAGCTATACATGTCTGTTTGGTAGTGGCTTGATGATATAGAAAACGACTTCTTCAGTAAGCTTCTAGGGAGAGTTTTGTGCAAAAAGCTAAGTTTTTTTCATACATGCCCCTTCCAATTAAAGAAAACACTCATTCGGAGGTGGGGCAGTTAGCTAGCCTTAGTAGTAAGGACGGAAGTCATACAACCTAGCTCCGGAGTTCATACATATTCGCCTCAGCTTCCCTTTCTATTAGTAAGGTTGTCGTATCAATCAAGGCAAAACTTGAGTTTGATTGCAGGGCGCCCCTTCCAATTAAAGAACACACTCCTTCCATCTATAAAGAAAACCTTCTCAATCTATATAAACATATTAATCCACACATACAACTCTATCTATACGAAATCTGATGGAAAACCAACCAAATAGCCCCTTACTCAAGAAAAGACGCAATTCATACGAGGAATTATGTGACTTACTCAAAAAAAAAAGCAATTCATATTAGGAACCATGTGACTTACTCGAGAAAAGATGATCTGAGTTTTGAGTTTGATTGGTTTCTCATGAAGATTTGTCGAAGATCTTCTTCTGTATAATCCGGGACATAAACCGGTATAGGATCAACAAAACCGGTATCTGAATGGTAGGTATCGAGTGACGAACTACTGATAAAAATCACACCCACATCAGGAACCTTCAATATATCATGAAGCTTGAACAAAAGAGGCAAAATGGTCGAACTTTTGTCCCAATCTCTAACGAGCTCTAAACTATCAAAAATCAAATAAACCGTACTTCCACTAGCCGATACTCCCGTCTTCTTGGAGCTAGAAGATCTGCCCGCATTCCCCTTCAAATTATCTACAACGCCCATCAATGCTTCCTTCAAAAGATTAACAAAATCCGCTTGCTTTTCACACTTCTTCGCACTTGAATAACCATTGCTTTCACTTTTTCTATGAAGCAATAACTGATTCAGAATATTTTCAAAAAGTTGGCGGGAATTGTAACAAGTCCTACAACTCGAGTACACGAATGGCCGATTTAAGTGTCGAAAAACTTGAAGAATCGTGCTTGTCTTACCGGTCGATGTGCCACCGTAGACAAATAATGGAGATACCGGAGAATTCACCGGACCTAAGAGGCGTAAAATCTCGAGAATTTGGTTTCGTCTTCCGGGTAGACTAGAAATCAGACCATCAAAACTTAATGGTTCTTCTTCTCCAAACACGAGGTCACGAAGCGTAAGAGGTGGGAGATTGACGATTTTTGTAGCGCTTTCATTTGCATTCAGGACGGAAGATGCTGATAATCTCGTTGTTCTTCTTGTAACCTGGGGATTTTCTTCTTTGCTCATTCTTTTTCGTGAAACAAACAAGCTCAAAGCTTGAATCGAGTGGATATACCAAAAACTGTTTCATCAACAAAAATATCCAGAAACATAATTATTACTCTCTTGACATTCGAAGATTTATATCAAAAGAGGAACTTCTATCATACTCAAGAATAAGCTACCAAACCTTGCTACAGTATAGTACCAAAACCGTTTATCTTACATGAAACAATGTAAACTAGACATGTCAAGTAATAAGTTCAAACGATTTTGTATTATCTGCACCTGAGTTAATATAATTGCCTTCTTTTCTCTTGAACTTGATAAAATGACAACTGTGAGTAAAAAAATTAGATCGACTAAAGAATTCAAAACGGAACATTAATATTAAATCTACAACTTATGATAAAAAAGGAACATAATATTCCAAAATGTTTTCGAGCTAGAGCTGAATTTTGCTTTACATATGCCCTCATAACTGATGGGTCAGTTTTATTTCTGGTGATATAACAATGCCCTTGTATAAAATTTTAATTATTAATTATTGTAATTGATATTTTTGTGTTTGAACTAGGTTGTTTGATGTTACTAATTACTATTATACAAATACAACAATCAAAATTTGGTTGACTAAAGTTTTAGTATGATATGTCATTCAAATGTGAGATTGAAATTTTAAATGTATAGTATATATAAAGATATTACGAAAAAATTAGATTTTGTAGACAGAAAAACCCTCCAATTTCCGGAGGGGATCCCCATTCCCAGATGAGGATGGGGATGGGATCTTATTCCCTGACGGAGATGGAGATGGGGACTGGGGACAGGGATGAGGATGGGGATTGAGATTGGGGTCCCCGGTACACCCGACCCTATTGCCATTGTTACCAATCTCTCATCCTTCATTACATAAACCGACAATAAAATACAACCTTCTTAGGCACCCCCTGTTCCAACATGCCTATTTAGAACTTCACCAAGCAGTTTCAGTTCATGTACCATTCTACAACCTAATATCATCCATACAACCTTAAATTTCACAATAATTTGTAGCAGTTATGCATTTGACAAATGTGTGAACTAGTCTCACAATTTAACACAACAAAATTGACAAAAGAAAAGCATACATCACATCAAGATATTTGAAATTTGAAAACACAAGTACATGTAACACATTAACACTAAAACAAAAGCCACAAGGCAGAAACATCAAACATTCAAATTTCAACATATGTCATTTCCATATTTCAAATGTGAACTGTTAGTCATCCAAACACATTCTAATTTACACTATCACAACTGCATAACAAAAAGGGCGAAGTCTGAGGTTGAGAGTGAACTTAGGTTTGGGGGAGCTGGACTCTGTACAGAAAACTAATTTGGATTACAAATTTTTATATAAAACTTCAGGGTAGGCCTAGGCCAATGCTGGCTCCACCGGAGACCATATGAAATGGAAAACATAATGGCCTCAGCTACTTCAGTCATTGGCTCATTGCCTAAAGCCATGGATACAACAATTCATAGTCATGTTATTTGTTAAGCATTTGATGCATTGTATTTTTGAAGCGGAACTACTGGTGGTTAAATTTGTTATGTGAACTTACTTTCATTGTATGTGTACTGAAAAGTTTGTCAACTTTCAGTCATTATGTGCTTGACTATAATGTGTGTATTACTGCATTAGGACTCCAAGTTGGGTCAGTGGACTCCTAAAATAAATAAAAAATACTATGCCCAGTGCTTCCCCTGATTCTAAAGAAATCCTGCCTTCAATCACTTGCTAAGAGTAAACAAGTGTTTCTTAAAACAAAGAAGAGGTAAACCTGTGCGTGTTGATCAGTCTATGGGAATGCTTAACCTCCCGTGCTTCATTCCTCTAGCTTAACCAATAAGCACTAACCATTAAGTCGCAGGTATGCCATTTATTTGATTATCAACGATTTCAAGCATCAATTCATCCCGTAAATTATAGCAAACTAAATTTGTCAATGGTTCCACAATACGGTAATATAATAATCATCACGATTTATTATTACACATGTAAAGTTATATACTAGGATTTTGAATGTTATGTTATGGACTGATGTTATGTATTGCAAGCTTCACGTTTTAGTCTATGAAAATGTGAATTTATACAGAGTTCCATGACAAATTTTTTGCCGTACATGGTGAAGAAATCCAATATAGTGAAGAAAAAATTATTCTCAACCCATCAGAACTCAAAAGCTGCAGTTGTAGAATCCTTTTTAGCAATACTAGTAGTGTAGTTCTTACTTGAATAACATAAACTTCCAGAAACACCAACTGATCAAAGATACAAAAGGCTAATGACAAAATGCTAACATATTGGAACTCAACACTGTAAATTTATCATACAAATATACAATTACAGATCTACAATCATACAAAACTACAAAACCAAACCCGTTTATGATTTTATGCACGCAAAAAAGCGATTCAAAATCAAATTCAAATTCAAATTTAGGCAAAAGCTGTGATTCGGAAACCTAACCTGAAGCGGGAAGATCTGTGAGCCGTCGTCTAGAGGCGGAGAGGGAAATCGGTCGTCTAGATGCCGGAAGCAGTCGTCGGAGAGGGGGAGTTGCGGTGGGAAGTGGCGGGATTTTTTCGTGAATCGATAGTGAGAGGCGGGAGGTTTATATAGTAACCAGGGCCTCATGGGTACAACATCGGGGTTTGGGATTATTAAAAAGAAAAAAAAAAAGATACATAATTTAAGAAATAATATATAAATGAGTAAATTGCATTAAAAAATAATGTAATTCTTATTTTAGGTAATGTATTTTTAAAATTTTCATTTTGGTATTTAAGATGTAAAATTTTAAAAATTTAAGTATTCGAGTAACCAGTTGAAAACTAATTTTAGATTAAAAAAGATTTATGTCACTAGCCACGTCAGCAAATAATTATAAGTTGGATACCACATCACTCGTCACATCAACATAATAACCGGTTAATGTTTCAACCAGTTACCCGGGTACTTAAATTAAACTAGAAGGGTGCTTGCACAATGCAGCGATGTACATTTCAATTTTAATGTTTTTTTTTTGTCTCGGTCGATGTTATAATACGGTTTGATTTTAATGTTTCATTTTTTTTTGTCTCAATCGATGTTATAATACGGTTTAATGTGGTTTTGAGAAAACGATAATTTTTTATTTTTGAATAAAATATAAATATGAAGATATATCATAAAAATTTGAAAAAAAAAATTGGTATTAGTACCAAACTAACTATTAAAAATTTCTCCTTTTTATGTGTTTCTTTAATTCAATTTTTTGTTTTTTATTTAATAATATAATTTTTTATAGAGATAATTATTAAGTATTTTGTTAGAACTCAATGATTATCCTACTTATATTTTAGATTTTTTATATTTAAAATAAGATGTTTATCATGTATTTGATTATGTTTATCTACAGTTAGTTACACGAATTTAAACATGAAACTTTAATAAGTTGTACGAAAATTAAGTAAATTAGCATTATATAGCAGCACATAATGCTTAAAAAATTGTTTTTAAGAGATTATATCAAATGCTTTATAATATAACTAGAAGCGTACTCGCGTAATGCAGCGGGATACATTGTGATTTTAATATTTTATTTTATTCTTTATCTCAGTCAATGTTCTAATATGGCTTTATATGATTTTGAGAAAGCGATGATGTTTTTATTTTTGAATAAAATATATGTTTGAAGATATNAAATTTTATTATATTTTTAAATTTATATTTTATTCAAAAATAAAATCATTATTGCTTTCTTAAAAACACATAAAATCGTATTATAACATCTACAAAGACACATAATAAATAGAACATTAAAATCGAGATTTGTCTTGCTCCATTGCGCGAGTACCTTTCTAGTCATAAAAAATTGAAAAAATATATCGATATTAATATCAAATTGATTATCTAAAAGTTTTCTTTTTTATACAATTTCTTTAATTTAGGTCTAATAGTGAAATAATTTATTTTTGGCTTAACAATATAATTTTTATAAAGATAATAATTCTGTTATAACTCAATGATTATTATAATTATATTTTAGATATTTTTATTTAACATGAAATATTTATTATATATTTGATTATGTTTATATGCAGTTAGCTATACAAATTCAAAAATTGAGCTTTAATAAGTTATACTTATGCACAATTTACTTGTAATATTAAATTTTAAGTAATATGCATTAATAAACAGTACTTCATGTATAAAGAATGATTTTTAAGAGTTTTTGTCAAATGTTTTATAATATATGTGTGTGTGTATGGGCACATTCAAGGGAAAACTGATTAGTTTGTTGTAACCGTGAGATCCAATCTCAACAACAAATCAATTAGATAAATTAGAACATTTATAATTTTGGTAACTTTGAATTAAAGTTTTATTGCAAGAACATTTTAGGCATTAAAACTCTCCTCTCTCCTCTCTTCCTTCTTCGTCCCCTGTCCTCCGGCCTCCGGCCACTGTCCTCCAGTCACCGTCCTCCGGTGATACCACTGTGATACCTAAAAATATTGACTCTGTTAAACAAACAATACAGTGTGATACCCAAGCACATATAAGATGCATTGTGATACCACTGTGATACATCTCCGATCGACCACACAAACGACCCCAGTGTGATACCAAAACACATATAAGATGCATTATGATACCACTATGATACCATTGATTTCAATTCAACTAATCAGATTTTGCATCCATTTGGATCCCATCAAAGAAGTTTCGCATGAAATTTTGTATATATCGAACAAAAAAACTATAAATCTTGATCAAAAGTTTGAATCCAAAATATGATTTGTGGGTATCACCAACAATACCTAAAATGATTCTGTTAGTGAGCAAGTGCAGGAATAGACCATACAGTCAATCTTTTGATCTTCAACACCCCATCACTATGAACTGCAGTAGCAACAATTAATAGTGTATATATATATATATATATATATATATATATATAGAAGCAAGAGGTTGGGTTCCTAGAATAAACTATAAATGTGGATCATTAGGGTTTAAACGATTATGATTTGTGGGTATCACCAACGCCTCCGTAACCATCAATGCCTCCAATCTAAAACCTAATCTGTGTATCTTCCTCTTCCTGGTTCCTACCAAACTAAAAATGGAGACTGTCGTCCCACCGTCATCGTTGATACATCTCAACACCTTCGTCGGAAAATCCCGCATCGGAAGAAACACCACCTTCACCGACTGCATCCTCTCCGACTCCGGCATGACTTGCTCCGTCTCCGACTGCATCCCTCTTCCTCGTCGCCATCGTCTTTTGTCTATGAAGCCCTGGTGTTTGGAAGGGAGGCGATGATGGAGGGATTGGTAAAGAAGATAGAGAAAATTAAGGACCTGACAGTTACCAAATGAGTTGTCAATTTTCTTTTACCAAATTACCCTTTATGATTATTTAAAGTATACTAATAATCTATACTATCTTATAAAGCATTTGA